TATATATATATGTACATATATATATACATCACTATATATATATATATATATATTATATAATATATATGTATATATATATATATATATATATATACGTCTGTGTCTGAAATGCCACCGGAATGTACATTCTTCATTCGCCTCATTCAAAGTGTATGCTCCGCGACCTCTAATATATGCACGCATACCCAGCCACATTCCTTTCCTAAATTGGTACTAGACGCAGGTATAGGCTCAAACACTCACCCCAAACCACTCGAACACATGTGCACACAGAACTGGACGGCATAATCGCGCGCATAGCAAAGACAGTCAAGACTAAAGTCAAGGCCGAGGCAGTCAAACAAGAGATAGAGAAGAACGATGAGATGATCCGTTCCGCGTTGCGAGCTGTGTATGCCCTATCAAAGATACCTGACGCAGGTGTGTGGCTAATCCCCCGCGTGTTCTGTCACGTGACGGGTACATGTGAGCGTGTGTACGTGTGTGAAGGCATGTCGCAATGGTTGATCTCGTCCCTTGCTGTGTGTAGCGAGCGTTCCAGCTCATAGATGTATGGCGCCTTTGTACGGTGTGCATCGCATGTTGTGTGTTGTGTGCTGTGTGTTGTGTTGCATATATTGGCCGAGAAGAATGTAGCCGCCAGCCCCCGACACTTCGCGCATCCCACTGGGATCTATTGGTTGATACAGATATCGGATCTTTATTCTCTTTATTCGGAGCTTGGGCAGAGTCATTGCTGGCTACCTGCCGTACATGTATACATATGGTCTATATACAAAAGGTCGTGTACTCACATATTCGAGTCTTTGTCTTAACACTCTTGCAGAATCGAATACTGGCTTTGTCCAACTGCTTGAGTATGTAAACAAGACGCACGCATCTAAGTACGCGCCTATTGTCAAGGAGCAGGAGAATAGACTCTCTACCCACGACCCAATGGACACGAGCTGAATCGCAGACATTTCGCAAATCAGGAGTCAACCTACCTTAGCACTATACTGATGTGAGGGTAGACTACAATATGGGTGAAAGCGTTCAGCTTCCAGTACTACGGGACTTGTCGCTTCATACTCCACGAGTGACCCAAGCTGAGAAGTATATTGCCAGGCAGAATGTACTGGCCACAACAAGCATTGCGTGGTATCTTTATCGCGTTTTCAGCAAACCTTTCGATCTGTATATGGCGAACTATCATGGCACAGACGAGCTAAACATTAAGAGTATGTTAGAAAAAAAATCTGGACCTTGTTCTTGTATTAGGTTGTGAGCTCAAGCGACCCTGGTTTTCGACTATGTGGAGAGAGGCAGTAACCCATATACGCGCCTGTTTCACGTGTCAGTGACCAAATAATTCAGGGATACAAATTCCCAGAGGGACATTTTAGAATAAATATGCCAAAATCTGCCCGGTAGCGGCCATGGGCCGGCGATGAGTTGATGACCAAACGACCATTGACCACCAAGGCACCAAACAAAAGTTTGTCATGCTTACATACTGCCCATTTAAACACAGATCACTCACCACAGACCACAGTCACTGTCAGAATCAGTGGAGTATTGACTCTCATGGAAAAGCTCTCTGGCACAGAATTGGTTATTATGAAAATTCCACAAAGAAGATCGCGACAAGTTTGTGATAAAATGATCGTCCGACTTTTGTTTTAAAAACAAATACGTCTTTTACAGTTTTACTGTGTTGAAATCTCGCTCTTTGAGTCTCGATTCTCGAGTTTCGTCTCGAACTTGGAAGGCTTGACTCTTTGAGTTACGCGAGAGTATCTAAATTCGAGTGACGACGACGAGTTCTGCCACCTGACTCCGTCTCCGAGTCGCAACTCGCGAACATGAAGTTTGGAGGGGGTTCCTTTTTTTTTCTTTTGAAGAAGAAAATTAAGAAATAGTCGTAAATTCGTGATTGAATTTTATTTTTTTGGGTTGCTTTATTTTGGAGGTTCGGATGTGCTACTTTGTTTTCGGCCTTTTTAAAATAGGGCTTAGGGTCCCTCCCCCGCCCCCCCGGATTTTCTTTTTGGATTTTGGGTGCATATTGCACTTTTATGTCGAACTGAAATATCCGATGACGTAAGCGATTGAAAAAAAAACTCGAGCTCTAGAAGTCTAGATCTATACTTTTTTTGTTAATATCAAACAAGATATTTTTTTTCAATTACGACAATCTTAGGGCTTGATAAATGTACCATAAATTAGGACAAAACTAGGGTTCATTGCCGATATTGTAATTTGTGTCCCCCCGCCCCCCCTATTTGGGCCCAAAATAAACACTAAAACAAAGTAGCTCATCCGAAATTCCGAACCCTCTCCTTGATAGTTTTAGATTGCCTCTTCTGCCCCAAGAGAGAGTACAGGGACTTCAGGATTTCAGTTCTCAGAACTCAGAGGCTCAGCCGCTCAGTCACAGTGACTCAGATCAGTCAGTCAGTCACCCATTATGTCTGCCACTCTGCCGGTGTCCACTCAACATGACTCATTGATCAGTCTGCCTGCTGCCAGACTTACTTTGATTGTTCACTTTTTTTATTTACAAAACAACTATATATTTCTCAACAAAAAAGGACTTCACAAGAGTTCAAGAGTTCAAGAGTTCACGAACTTCAAGTTCAACTGTTCACAAGTCATTGTATTTACTTCCAAAAGAATCACAGTTTATATGTTTGCAGTGCCAGAGACTGTGTGAGTGATTCTCGTGCATGAGTCGTGAGTCGTGAGTCGTGAGTCGTGACTCGTGACTCGGAGACTCGGACTCTCTCTCTCTCGTGAGACGTCAGACGTGTGTCAGTCTGTTAGGGTGTGAGAGACTGAGAGTGACTGAGAGTCTGAGAGTCGATGAGTCGTGAGTTCGACAGCTTCGTGACGGTTCAATGCTCATGACTAGTGATCAGGCCTCATAACGTACACGCTATGAAGCTGAAAACGCACTACGTTTTACGTTAACGGGCTCAATTATATTTTTTTTACGCATACAAATGGTGCAATTGCCTTTTTTTTAATAGAGATAATCGGCCAAATGTTTAAAAAAAATGCAAATTACACGCCGAAAAAAATGATTTCGCAAAATTGGATTGCACGGTGGGATAATAGGCTGAATGAGAGGAAACCAAAACTGCCCTAAACTTTCTCGGCCATTTTTGAAGTGGCCAATATATAGACCTGGGCTTGCGGCCAACATATGATATATGGACCTGGGGCGGCCAATATATGGACCTGGGGTGGCCAACATTGACACTGCCCATGCCCACATGTCTCAATACTGAGTATGTCTTTTGATAGTAAAAGACTAACGAATAGAAAAGGTAACATGATACAATACGAGATCTGTCCGTATAGAATGGAGTATGTTTAATTAAAGCTGTCTCCGAGGTATAGTAAATAGTAAAACAGTACTTGAACTTCTAATGGCTCATTTATTACTAGCCATCTCGGCGGCGACTATTTCATATACATGCTCAGGTACACGTCGATGAGAAGTATATTTCTTATTCGCAAACGCTGCAAGTAGCAGAGTAAGACGCTTATTATAGCAATCGAGGTAACGATGGGCACCCCTCACAAAGCATCTGATTGTATCCAGTTTAACATTGTTCAGAGCTTCGATGACATGTTTTTGAAGGCCTGCCCACGTATCATCGCATTTGTCTCGCAAGTCAAACTTGTCTCGGCCCCAATATCGCTCGATGGGGTTGAACTCGCAATGGAACTTCGGGAGAAATACGCATATGTAATATCAATACAATTGGGCTGCACTGAACTTAATATCAATACTACTGTGATTGCTGCACTGAACTCAAGGATAGCGGTAATACGCGTGCCACACACCTAAATATTCTTTTCGACCTGAAGAAATGTCAATATCAATATTTTGACAGTTCGACAGATCTTATAAAATCCCGGGCTTGCCGATTTCTGGCCTCAAAAGTCCAAAATTCGTACTGGAAGGGTGAATACTGAAAAACGGCTAATATTTTCCGAATCAGTCAGAGTCAGGGTTTGCAATATCAAAATGTGCCCGGGTGATATTTCAGATCAGGTCCCCCTGAGCATTTTCCGCTATCAAACTCTCGAATCGGGTGATATTTCAGATCAGGTCCCCCTGAGCATTTTCCGCTAGCAAACTCTCGAATCGGGTCATTATTTCGTGCTCCATGGGTCGCGGCAGGAGGGGTCATTTGGCCGACTATCTTAAGGCAACCGCACCATACCGTATTCATTTTGTTCCAAAACGACAATTCAAAATAGTATATTTTCAAGAACTGTTTCAAATAGATCAACAAATGACAAATATGCATTGGACCTGATCCAAAACTGAAAAAGTTCATTTTATATATCAAATAGTCGCACATATTTTGGCAGCTAAGGTTGGGTGGCATATTTCAATATATTGGCGGGCTTCAACGCCAAGGTCATGAACGTACGAAAGCGTATCTCGTTTACCGCTAACCCAATGATTTGAAAACGTGTTTACGCAAAACGTAATAAACCCTGCTCGTGAGTCGTGAGTCGCAACTCGCGACTGGTACAATGTAAAATTGTATGTTCAATTTAAGAGGCTATGAATTCAGAATTGCAACAATAATAAATACATACCTGACCGAGGAACACATATTTTTCGATAATAAATATGGCGAAAAATTGGCATATTTTTTTTTTAAATAAATGATATGCGCTGAAAACGTTAAATATGAAATATGAAATATGATATGAAATTTGGAAAAAAAAATACGTAATACGGTGTTGATTTCAGAAACACGGCAAAAATAATAAAATTTGGTATAAAAAAAATTGAAATATGCCATAAATATGCCATATTTCTTAAAAATGCCATAATTCTAAAATATGCAATATTTTTTTTATAAATATGCCATTCTAAAATATGCCATATTTCTAAAATATGCCATATTTCTGAACAAGGCATTTTTATGAAATATGCCATTTGTACAATATATATATATATTTACGAAATATTTACAATATATAGTATTTCACGGCTGAATTATAAAATTTGTATAGGCATATAGCCTGTATTTTGCAGTTCTATCAAAGGATTTATATAGGCATATTGACTGTATTTGTAGTTATATTAGAATAATTAAATAGGCAGAGTGGCTGTAGTTA